CAAGCTTTCATCCTCTGACGAATCGTTGAACCAGAACTCCGTTGTACTCATTTTTACCACGTTTTCATGAACTCGCTTTCTTTTTTCTTTCATTTTAATTTGCACAAATTTACATACATATGTATAAGCACACTATTTAGTTTGCTTGATTTGTAAACAAAACTTGTCAGCGGTGAAAAATATACTATTGTAATCAACCTAACCGAGCGATATTCACAATAGCGCTATTCTTCATCGAATGAGCGTCATAATACCAAATGAAAATTCGTTCGATCAGCACTTTCGACCACAGTCGAATGCAACTCATAATAGGAGCCTTACTTTTACATTTCTATGTGAGACTGCATTTTCAACAAATGCTTACATAAACAAGTAATTTTTAAGCTAAAAAACAAACAAAACCGATTTCAATTCCCATGTAAAAATTTAAGATTATCGTTAATCTATTCATGATCCAATGATCGGATTTAAACCAAATTAGACCACCTCTCAGGTAACACCTTTCCTTTAAAAAATAATTATAGTAATCGGTTAACGTGGTCATAATACCAAATGAAAATTCGTTCGATCAGCACTTTCGACCACAGTCGAATGCAACTCATAATAGGAGCCTTACTTTTACATTTCTATGTGAGACTGCATTTTCAACAAATGCTTACATAAACAAGTAATTTTTAAGCTAAAAAACAAACAAAACCGATTTCAATTCCCATGTAAAAATTTAAGATTATCGTTAATCTATTCATGATCCAATGATCGGATTTAAACCAAATTAGACCACCTCTCAGGTAACACCTTTCCTTTAAAAAATAATTATAGTAATCGGTTAACGTGGTCAAAAGTTATGCGGTAACATACATAAAAAAAAATAATAAAAAAATGTTCCGACGAACCTTGTTCCTTATTCTTTTTGTGAAGTCGGTTAAAAACAAATACACCAGCAAGCGTTCAGCGTCAAACGATTTCAGGGTAAAATTGTCAAAGCTACCAATAAACTTAAAGGAAATAATGAAATCATCAAAACAATTTCAGTCCTCACATTAAAGCTAAGGGGGCATAAAGTTTGCATTGTGGTTTCTTGTTTTCGTAGACATTTATGAGAGGTGGCACGCCCCCTTATCGGATCCCAATTTTTTTACCCTATTATAGGCCCAGGTGTGATGGCAATACTCTGTCAAAATTTTGTTCGATTCTGGTCGTCCGTTTAGGCTGCAACCTGGCACATACATAGAATAGAATAGAATATAGAATAGATTGGCGCTTACACGTATGTTAGTGTTTGGCCGAGCTTCTCCTCCGACTTGTGGCGTGCGCCTTGATGTTGTCACACAAAGCGGAGGGACCTACAGTTTTACGCCGACTCCGAACGGCGATTGTATTTTTATNTATCTCGTCCACAATGCCGCCTATCGTGTACATTTTAGGCCCAATATTTGTTTTCAATTGGCTAATATACGCTCTAAATATTAGCCAAATCGGCAAGTAAATGCAATTTTCAGGAATATCCCGACCCCAGCGCCACCTAGCATGCAAATTTTTGGTAGAAATATTTATTTGCAAGGTCCTGATATATAAATATGAACGAAATCGGTCTAGCCGTTTGGTGACATACAATATACGGAAAACTCCAAATTGTGAAATCGTGGCGTCTCAACACTCTTCATTTTTCAGCAACAACAACAAAAAGTTTCAATTTTTCTTGAATCGAAAAACCTTCCACACAGAAGGTGCAAAATGTACTTTTTACAGAAGTGAAATCGGTTCAGCCGTTTGGTCAGGCATCGCCGTCATACGGAAAACATTTTTATATATATAGATAAATATTAAACACCCAAAACAAAAGTAGTCAGAACTGGTCAAAATGTCGTGTGCCTCATGACTGTATGTGTGTATGTTGTTACTTATATTTTTTGAAGTTCTGCAGGTGGCCCTTACACATTAAGCAGCCAAAACGACGTAACCGAGATTTTTTCAAAATTTTCCTTTTGATGCAGAAATGTTCCTAGAGAATTTAGATACATTTCTGCATCAAAACTAAAATTTTGAAAAAATGTCGCTTACGTCTTTCGATCTCGGTATGTATAATTTAATTTACAAATATAGAAATATTTCAACTACCTTTGAAGCCATGTCATCATGACTAGCTGTATTGAGGATTAATACAGTCACTCCAACAAATGACCACGTGTAGATTTTTTTAAATATTCGTACTGTTTTCCGAGCAATATTTCCTGTTATTTTTCTATAAAAATACCGTCCAAGCTTTTTTCAAAACCATATAAATAACTGTTTCATACTTTATAAAAAATTTAGGAAAGTTTTTTTTCATCAAAATTTCAACTTTTTACTCTGAATCTTTAAGACAATTTTGGGTATGCAGTTTTATAGCTCATACAATTTCAGTCTAATGAAGTGCAAGTTTGAATCTGTGATTGATATGTTTTTGGGTAAAGCTTGGAAGATATTTTTATAGAAAAATAACAAAAAAAATTGAGCTCGAAAAACATTACGGATATTAAAAAAAATCAACACGTGGTAATTTTTTGAGTCACTGTAGATTACCGGGCAGTCATTTGACCTAAAAGCAAATATGAATTATGATGAATAGTAACATTGAATACATTTTAACAAACAGTTGACACAATTTAATAGAAGCAAGGCTACGGACATGAGATTTTTCAAAATTTTGGTTCTTAGAACCAAAACAACATCATAATTGAGTTACTTGGTTACTTTACAATTCTGCTTTATCCTGGCAATAAAATCTAACAATGGCATATAGCCCCTACCGCCTATTCATGAGAATGAATTTTCTACGTGTTTGTGTCACAAACGATTTATGTTTTTGTAATTATTTGTCAAAAACTCAGTACAGTCAGTGCCAAATGTAAGTGTACACCTTGTTCTATTACAATATTCACACTTATTTTAATGACAAAATGTTTTCATTCATTATTTATGAAAATATAAATTATTCTATAACATACACCATATAAATCAAAGTTTCACACTTTATATAAAGTTCACAAAAACTCAAACAATTTTCATCAAAATTTCAAATTTTTTATTCAGAATTTCCCGAAAATTTTCGAGTATGCAGTTTTGTAGCCCGTTCAATTTTAGTAAAACAAAGTGCCAGTTTCAAGTCGCTAAAAATTGCCGTTGATTTTGTAGATTTTTTTTTTAGGGTATTGCGCGTTTTCTTCCATATAACGCGTGATCAAAATCTATTTTTATATGGAAGAAAATGCGTAACACCCTCCACAAAAAAAAAATTATAAAAAATCAACGGAAAAATTAGCGACTTGGAACTGGCACGTTGTTTTACTAAAATTGAACGGGCTACAAAACTGCATACTCGAAAATTTTCTAGAAATTCCGAATAAAAATTTTGATGAAAATTGTTTGAATTTTTGTGAACTTTATATAAAGTGGAAAACTTTGATTCATATGGTGCATGTTATAGAATAATTTATAATAATTTTGAAATATATATATATATAGAATATAAATTATTCTATAACATACACCATATAAATCAAAGTTTCACACTTTATATAAAGTTCACAAAAACTCAAACAATTTTCATCAAAATTTCAAATTTTTTATTCAGAATTTCCCGAAAATTTTCGAGTATGCAGTTTTGTAGCCCGTTCAATTTTAGTAAAACAAAGTGCCAGTTTCAAGTCGCTAAAAATTGCCGTTGATTTTGTAGATTTTTTTTTTAGGGTATTGCGCGTTTTCTTCCATATAACGCGTGATCAAAATCTATTTTTATATGGAAGAAAACGCGTAACACCCTCCACAAAAAAAACAAAATTATAAAAAATCAACGGAAAAATTAGCGACTTGGAACTGGCACGTTGTTTTACTAAAATTGCATACTCGAAAATTTTCTAGAAATTCCGAATAAAAATTTTGATGAAAATTGTTTGAATTTTTGTGAACTTTATATAAAGTGGAAAACTTTGATTCATATGGTGCATGTTATAGAATAATTTATAATAATATTGAAATGTTGATGAAAATTTTTTAAATTTTTTTGAACTTTATATAAAGTGTGAAGGTTGTTGTTATAGAATAATCTATATTTTCATAAATAATTAATGGAAAGATTTTTTCTTGAAAATAAGTGTTAATATTATATTAGAACATGGTGTATACTTACATTTGGTACTGACTGTATATCCCCCTCCAAACGGCTGATTATTTTTTTAGAAGATTTCAGGGACCGTAAATAACAGTTACTTTTTTCCAACAGTTAAACTTGGGCAGATATTTTTTAAGTTCGAAATAAAAGTCTATTCGGATAGTAAACAAACCATTTATCCAAATTAAACAAATTTGGTACCAAATGAAAGAGGACTTAAATAGCTTTTAAACAAAAATCGAAAAGCTACCACTTGTATTTACATTTTTTTTATAATTTAATACAAAAGAAATGCATATACCTGACTCAAGGTTTATTCTATGACAATTAAAAAGCATTTTTTATTTAAATATTTTTTAATAGCTGGCTTTCTGCTGGCTTTCCTCGTTTAAATACTTCAGTTTTAAAGTTATTTTAGTCCTCTTTCATTGATACCAAACCTGTTTGATTTGGATAAGCGGTTTGTTTACTATTAAGAAAGGACTTTTATTTTCGACTTAAAAATATCTGGCCAAGTTTCGCTACTGAAAAAAAGTAACTGTTATTTACGGTCCCTGGAAGATTTTAATTACACTCGAAGGTTAGAAATTGCCTGCCGAGAGATGACTGCTACTTGTTTTTTGGTTGGTAGTAGTCTAGGAATGGAGCGCACCTTTAACCACTTGGCGGTGGCGCTATTATTCTGTATTAATACATCACTAAGATGCTTTGGCATTGGAAAATATTAACTTAAAAAGTTATATGTATGTATGTATTTATATGAATGTAATATCAAACTGGCGTCTTTTAGTTTTTGAAAATATTATATACGTTTTATACATATGTTTAAAAAAAAATTGTATTTAAATAGATTTGGAAAAGGAGAAACTACCAGATAACATTACACAGTTGGAAAAGCTTATAGAAGACCACAAAGAGTTTATGGAAAATACCGCACGCAGGCAAGTCGAGGTAGACCGTGCATGCAAACCGAAACAGCAGCCTTTAAGCTCACGTCGGAGCCTGTCAAGAGTATCCAAAACTCCAATGTAAGTATTGTTATTAGCAATATCTGTCCTTTGTTTCCAACAATAAGGGCTCGGACTAAGTCGAAAAATGCCCTTCAAAGGCTTTTCTTAGATATACGTGCACTAGCAAATACCCGGCGTGCTTCGCGACGCCTCGTGAGTAATTTTGCATCAAAGTTAAGGAGAAACCATATTGAAACTCAAATGGGAAAACCTCTTCAGGGGAAAAATTTTGCCTTTATTAGTATTCATAATTCATCTGGCCGGCCATTGTAACCCTAGTACATATGTATGTATGTACATATAATGTGTTGTAATCGATTGGTAATAATAATAAAAGTTAAGATCTATCTTCACAAATCAGTACCGTATCAGTTCAGTATCATAGCCAATCAGCATCGATCAGTGATACCAATTCACACACATCCGTAGTATGTCGTCCGGTACTTTCAGTAAAATGAGGTTCATTGAAACCAAGATGACTTCTACTACTTCTACTAATGATCAATTGGCAATTATTGCCAAACTAGATAAGTCTGGATAGTTCCGTACCAACTCGATTCATTTCCCTCCATATCAAACAAAACTTGCATTCTATTGCCATCAGCTCGTCATTGAAATAGACAAAACAAATCTTTGCCGAATTAACTACACTCTAAAAAAATGTTTTTTTTTTTTTAATTTAAAAAAGGTAACCAGTTTCCTCTCTTAATATATGCAAATTTGCACCCCGTGTTAATCAATTTAAATACCAGGGACCGAAAATAATCGTTATCAAGAAGGATTTTTATTTGGAAATCATTGTATAATCGTTATTGTATGATTTATATTTTTTTCAATCAAAAATAGTCGTTATTCTTTGATTTTAATTTTTTCAATCATTTTTAATAATTATTTTATGATTTTTATTTTTCCGATCAAAAATTATCGTTATTTTATGATTTCAATTTTTTCGATCATTTTTAATCGTTATTTTGTGATTTAAATTTTTTCGATCATCTTTAATCGTTATATTATGATTTTTATTTTTTCGATCATTTTTAATCGTTACTTTATGATTTTTAGTTTTTCGATCATTTTTAATCGTTATACTATGATTTTAATTTTTCTGATCAAAAATAGAACCGAATGTACACAGATTTGACTTAAAAAAAGTTTTACAAGGCATGCTTATGTACTAAACTCCTGCGCAATTCCATTTAAACGGCCTAACAAGACATCCGATCGCCGCGCAAATACTTTCCCTCCTTTACTCTCATCGTTCGGGTCAAGTGTGGGTAAGCATAAACCAGTTTCTGCAAGCGTACGTAAACTACCGATCAATAGCAAGACGCGTAGAGTATTTACTTTGCCTTCCGCAACTCCTGCGAGTAAAAGCTATTTGACAGTAGAATACTCTACTGGTAGTACTTGAGTATTTTCGGAGAAAACATACATTTGTGGTATCTGAATAAAACTAAGGACGGGAATGTAGTGGAGCGATGAAGAGAGCGACGAGCAAACCGTACTTTCAACTAAAATGCTGATATACATACCTAAGTAATATGTATGTATGTGCATAGATACGTATGTGCATAGACACATATAAAAGTGTCCGCATATATTTTTTCTCGTCACTTGCTCTGTTGTTTCACTGCAGCAACGCCAAGTTGTGGGGAAAACCCTGACGATATGCGTACAATAGTTGCGTTCCATATGCTCACGATTTGCAGGTTTTTTGTGCAGGAAATCGTTCCAGGTGCCAAAAACCCTGCAAGTCAAACTACTTTTGTGAGAGTAACTTGCTCTCTCTCTCAGTCAGAAGTAGCAGGTTTTAGTCCGAAGTTTTTCTCCCTGCAAGTTCATGAAAAGTGTCAAACGATAGGCAGGGTCGCATTTGTAAACAAAAACAGATAGCAAAGAACATTAAGCGCCACGGAGACAATCAAATAAATACGTCAAGCATTGCATATGTGTGAGATTGGCTCGGTTCTTGCCCGCAAACGTTCAAATAAACACGTTAATTCAACCAGCAATTTCCTTTTCTTGTCCGCGCACTTGCTCACCACGACGATCAGAAGGCAAGTGCGCTTGTTTTTTGTCAAGCAAAACGCGAGACGGTTGATAAAGATATTTGCTCGTCTCCATGGCGCTTAACATTAAAAAAAAAAACGGAAGTAGTTACAGGAAAAAGTGGTTTTTCGCGTTCCAGGTGACTTTTATTTTTTCTCTCTTGCTCCTCTCTTTCAAGACAGTAATTTTGTTATTTGACAGTTTTACAGGTTTTTACACGAAGTTATCTGGAACGCAACTAATTGAAACCATGGGTTTGAAGATAGCGCAAATTGATGTGAAAATTTCAATTTCATATGAAATATATTTATGTATGCATGGACATATGTACATATGTAAAAATGTAGTTTCGATTTAAAAAAATCGGGTAAAGTTTTTCTTTCGCCATTCATACACCTCTAATTTTAGTATTTATTAAAAAAAAACTCAATGAAATTCAAAAACTATCTCTTGCATTTGGTTTTACTCTATACCGATTTGAGCTGTCGCACAGTGTTATAAAAAAAAAAGCTATCAATGGGTAGGTGCAGAAGGCGCAGCTGTTGAGCGCAACCGTCAAATTCAACTCTCAAAGGTACACACCATCATGTTGTCTCAAATGATCAGAAAAATATTACGATCATCTAACGCGCAACTATTCAGTTGATCAGAAGTACGCAACAACGCATTCAGAAGGTGCAATCGCACCAGTTACTGAGCTGTTGCGCCTTCTGAACGTGCCCAATGAAAATTCGTTTCTCTTGAAATCAAGTTATATTACTGCGTATGTATGTACATATGTACATATTTCGAAATTTTTTTTATTTGTGAAGGCTCTCAAGAAAAACTAAAAATGCAGCTCTTAAGAAAAAAATGCTCGTACATCTCGTCGCTACCATGCCCAACTATCGAATGTGAAAATCGGCACTTTTCAAAATTTTGATTTGCCACTAATAATTTTATTTCGTATAGCGGTATTGCTTAAGTTGTTGTTTTTGACAACTTATTTGTCGGTTAATGACTGCAAATAGTTTTATAGAAAATTAGAAACGAGAAATAATACTTTCATAAAAAAATAAGTACATACATAGACTTAAAAAGCTGCTTGAATACAAAAGTTTTCTGAAAATGTCACATTAAACAACTGTCTAAATCTACGTTATTTTTTATAAATAA